TAAGGGTTGAACAGTGTAGGAAAGCCTTATGCATATGTACCAGTGCTTACAAAACTCTTTGCAAATAACTTTGTTAACACTCCACAGACTTAAAACAATCCGACTTTTATGTGCCTTTGGCGTTTATATACATCTGTATCAGCAGGTATATGAATGTCCTTAGATTACAACTACTGGAATTTGTAAAGTTCTGTCACTTTAAGAGTTGTAAATCCATGCATGACCTCTCTTCCACATTGCTAACTTGTAATTTCAGTGGAGTTTTCTAGCTTTAAAATATCTCTAGGGAACTGACTCTGCATATGTGCAATTTGAAGGTTACTGATATTTTCAGACTTTGCACTCTGATATTAGTGCTTGGCTCTAGAGAGCCAAAGTGTTCAAGATATCTTGTAGCTCAGATATGCAGATCGTCATTTTGCTGCTTTATTAAAAGAATACAGGTTTTTGAGAACAAATTTAAATGGTCTGAGGTCAGCAAGGGGAGGATGAAATCTTTTGGACTTATAGTTGATGAGGAACTTTTCCAGCCTCTAAAGCTTTGTCATTACTTTGGGGGGAAGGGGGGAGGAAGAGGAGAAGCTTTTAAACCTAGGTTCACCCATAGTCTTTAATAAACTAATATGAAAATAGTATACTTGTCCTGTCTTCACTAGGGTTGGACTACCATGATGATCCAGGTAATATGGGAGAAGGAAGGCTTTTTTGTAATGGCTTTTATTAGAGCAGCTGTATAGTTGGGTGAGAGGTTAGACAAGCTTTTGTGCACAAAGTGTGTTTCTTCACTAGGATTTTACCCTGAGTTAGTAAGATAATTTAACTTGTTCCTCCGCCCTGCCCCCCAAAGACGAGACTTATGTTACAACCAACAGTTTAGAAAATGTTTAAAGCAGTTGCTAATTTCTGTCTGTGTGCTCCTCCTATAGTGTGTAGGTTGATTCAATGTCAGGTACATTTCTTAAGAACGTATTACTCCAAAAACCATATACATACACTGTTATATATATATATGCATGAATATGTATATACTAGCCAATTGCCTGTCAAGAATGACAGGGGGTGGGGATGGAGCCCTGGGGCCCCCCCGTCTGGGCGTGCTCTCCCTTCCCTCCTGCTGCTTGTGGTCTGGGCCCACTCCCCCTCTCGCCTCCCCCGCTCCGTCCCCCGTGTCCCCACCATCATGGCGATGGGCTGCCTTCTGTTAGAACGCAAATAAAGCATTACAGGCAGACAGACAAACGTAGGCTTCTATAATAGGGGAGACCTTGTAGCCACCTACAAGTTTATCAAGGGAGGACGACAGGGAATTGGTGATGCGCTATTTACCAGAGCGCCCCAGGGAGTAACTAGGAATAATGGGTGCAAACTAGTGGAGAGTGGATTTAGGTTAGACATCAGGAAGAATTTTTTTACAGTAAGGGTAGCCAGAATCTGGAATGGGCTTCCAAGAGAGGTGGTGCTATCACGTAACTTGGAGGTCTTCAAGAGGAGGCATGATAGTCACCTGGCTGGGGTCATCTGACCTCAGTCCTCTTTCCTGCCAGGGGTTGGACTTGATGATCCATTGTATATATATAGGAGTGCACACTTGCTAATTTATTTCATGTTAGATAAATAAACAGTATAAAATAATACTTTGCATTTACATAATACAATTTATCAGCTGGTACTGCACCTTTGAAACTTAATATAATTAAAGATACTAATATCTGTGTAAGGTAGGTGATATTCCTATATAACCAGGGGGAAAGTGAGATGATGACTATAAGTTAACTAATAAAGACATTGGCAGACATGGAAATAGAACGGCAAGTAACATTTTCACCCTTACTTTGGCTTCTTCATACTGAGTAAAATAACTGGAGTGGCATAAAGACTTTCTCAAGCTCTGGATGTGTTGACACAGATGAGAATTTTCTTGGTGTAAGAAATAAGGAGTATAATCAAAAGCTTGTTTTCCAAAGAACCTTTTACAAGCCTTGATGTTGCAAGTATGCCAGGGACATGGATCACAGCACCGTGGGCATTTGGGGAACTGTTGTAGTCTGTAGGCAGGAAGTGCTAGACTGCTGTAATGCAAGATGGACTGTTGGAGCTATCTGTCCCATGGGGTGCTGAGAAGCCCAGAACCGGGCAGGGCCCAAGGATGACTTTGAGAGGCTAATCCACCATTTCTTTGAGTATGACTTCTGTACGGGACCTCTTAGAGGTACAGAACAGAATCTTTCCCTGTATCTCCTTATAATATCTGAGGGGGAATCAAGGAAAATCTGAAAGTTGGCATTATGACAGAAGTACAATGGAATTAAGATAGGAATCTGTTCTTTTCTGAGCAAATGAAGAGTCAAGGAAGAACTTATAGGTAGGACTGTATAGATAGGACTGAGTAGATCACAGGATCATAAAAAATGAGGGTTGGAGGGGACCTCAAGAGGTCATCTAGTACAATCCCCTGCTCCAAAGCAGGGCCATCCCCAACTATATCATCCCACTCAAGGCTTTGTCTTCCTGGGTCTTAAAAACCTCTACTTCTGATATCCAGAATGTGGTGAGAGAAGCTTACTTTGGGAACTCCCATATTTTTGAGTACCATACTTTTTCACACCCAATATAGACTTAACACTATTTTTGCACAGGTATGTATGCACATCATTTGAATTTTTAAACCAGTGTAGCGGATTAAAAAGTGTATCTGCCTTATCTCACATTTATCGCTATGTGAACATCCTTGAGAAACTTGGCTAAGATGGCAAGCAGCTTTATGAATCTTTGCATCATGGTAGCAGAGATGCTTAATACTTTGGTGTTTCTTTTGGGATAAGGGGAAAGAGGAAACATTCTTCTGGTTAAAAAAACAAACAAACAGCCCACAGTAGTTTGTTAGTTGACTTCACCTTAATCTCTAGGCAGCATCATGGCCTTGGGAGCTATTTTTCTCTTTGTTTCTCTTGGATTTGCAGCGAATTTGTGTAATACATATATTCCCAGAGGATTAGAATTGTACCTGTACAGCACATAGTACTGAGCATTAAGCTCTGTTGTTACTGTAAACAGACAGAAGAATAAAGAGACTTTAGAAAGCATTTCTTAGCAAATTAGACTCTCTAACAGATGCCCACTTAACTGCTGTCAGCTTGCAATCTCAACTCGCTTTCTGCATGGAAAAATCACAACAAGAAATTTGCTTCAATAACTATGCTGTATGTGCAAATAGTGTGGTTTCTGCGTATTTAGTGGAAAGTAAAAAGGTTACATTGGCTGTGTACTTTGGCCCCATGCAGCTGTCTTAAGAAATACGTAGGGGAAAACTGGCACCATGATGTGAGGAATTAGTGCCAAGTCCTTTTTTGAAAAACTTTTTTCATGATAGCCAAACTATTTATGACGGAGATCTTTTGATTCAGTTTATATATGGTAGATGCTCCTACATTTTTGAAAGGTGTGGAGGTGGCATTGCTGAAGAACAGTATTCTGGTTGTAGCTGATCAGCTGAGAATTCGTAGGTGGGCGGGAGGTGGGGGTGATTTGAAGATGGAGTATATTTAGTGAAACTTAATGCACTAGCCTCTGTTCATATCGACCAGCCGTAGAAAGGGCAGGGAATGGATGGCCACTGTATTTTTAGATTTCATAGATATTAGGGCTGGAAGAGATCTAGGAGATCGAGTCCAGCACCTTGCCCCAGAGGCAGGAAGTCAGCTGAGGTCAAAGGATCCCAGCAAGTTAAGCGTCCATACGTGATTTGATATCATCTGGTGTACTGGCAATGTATCAGCATAATATAAGATTTCTGTTATGTTTTGGATGTTGGATTAATCATAGAATCATAGAAGTTGGGTCGGAAGGGACCTTGTAGATCTTCAAGTCTGACCCCCCCCC